GACGCACTGCTTGGCAAGCCATGCTGTGGCGGCGTCCCATATAAAGTGGAGGAAGATGGGCACAGATGTTAGCCCAGGGCCGTCTTCCTCAGCAAAAAAAGAGGAGGATTGGCGGATGTTAGCACAGGGCTGATCTCCTCACAAAAAAAAAGAAAATGTCTTCATATAAAAATATTTTTACTCAAGTAAGGGAAGTCTTAAATGTATTATTTTTTTTGGACAAGGTTGCATTATTTACCTCAGATAAAATGCAGTAGTCATGCTTAATAACTGCTACTGTGGACAGAACTTGTTATAAAGGCTTCTTGTTTGAAGTGTATTTATTAACTTCTTTGTAAGATTTGGGTCCTATTGCTTGTTGACTAGAGAAAGGTTTTATTACTAGGGGTGTGTGCTGTCATCAGGTATGGGAGAGATCTCACATCTCTGCTATATGAGTGGATGTACTTTTAAAAAGGCATTATAAAAAGATTACTTGCATAGCTGGTATAATATCTCCCATACAGTAATGCACCTCACTTTCCCTCTTCACCCCCACTCCCCCCCCCCGAAAAAAATAGTCTTTATGCTAGGGCCATCCACTTTTTGATCATGACATCACAAAGATTCAGGCTAGATGTATTTAGTTTTTCTATTGGTATTTCTTTAGTAAAATATAGAATTTATCATGAAATAATTTGCTGCTATAACAAAAGGGGCTTTTATGTTTTTTGATTCAAAGCAGTTCACTAGCATTTCATTATTAGTTCATTAGCATTTCAGATTGCAGGTTTTTGTTTAAACCAGTTTTTCCCTGGTGCTTTACATTTTAAAATGTATTAATGAGGTCTCTGTTTCTCTTTCTAATGGCGTATAAAGTGAGAAGCTGAGTTAGACTGTATAAATTTTCATGAAGTTAATATAAAAGAATAGCTAAGAAAGTCCAGTTTAAGTATGGGGTTTGGTTTTATAATTTGGTTTTATTTAAATCTTTATTTGTATATTGCAAGTATGTATACCACAAAGCATCGTTTATTACTTTTGAATATTTACTAAAGTGTTTTCTTTTGATCAACTTTTGTAGGTTATAGATTTCTATCATCACTGCCTTTTTTCCAGGAGGGATTGATCACTGATCATTCACAGTTTTGCCATCTGTCATAAAAATACAGACACACATCCGGATCGTACCCCCCGCCTCCACCCCCCCAACAGCATGCAAAAATAAAATCCAATATAGGGCCGAATTTCATTTCAGGTAGTGTCTTCTGGTTACTTTTCTGGTGCTGTTTCTATTTCAAAAATCTGTTTTCCTCTTTTCCATGGCTCCTTTTAATTAGGAATTTGATTTTATGGATGTTGTCTGGTATTACAGAAATAGGAATGTGATAGGTGGATTAGTATGGATATTGGCAAAACGTTGTGTGATAAAATCGTGGGAAAGAAGATCAAATTTCTGAACCTCTGGGTTAGGTTGCTTGTGACTCGTTTTGTTATTTAATTATTGAGGTGTAAAGATCTTGTATTTGTGTGAATGCAGATCAAGCCAGGTAGTCTAAAAATTGCATAACATTTAGTCATCAGTGTATATTTTGTTTTTATTGGAGAGAAGACTCCTGTTGGAGCCATCCTTAATTAAAGAAGGAATTGAGCTTTGGGTGTCTCACCACTCTAATGACTATCCAACTGGACCCTAATCGCTGCCTTTATCAGTCTGGAGTATGGGGTAGAGCAAAGTGAGGCAAATATTTCTACCACCAGCATTTGTAAAGTAGACCCATCTGGGAGTAAGCGCTAAATGTTTGTTCTGCTTCTGTTTCTCAGGCCTTCCAAGGATTGTGGGAAGAGTTAATACAGGGCTGGGTGGCAGATGATATATACTGATGGTGGTGAAATTAAAGTTAACAGCTGGTTGCCATCAGAATTCTGTTTTGTGGTGTGTGTGCATGTGCGCGTGTGTGTTGTCCTCTGATGTGCCATTTCTATCTCACTGAGCTTCCTGGCCCCTCCGTGCTTTTAACTTTTCGCTTGAGATAGAAGGGGTGAGAGCACGGCAGAATTGTGGTTGATTAGCAACTGTGATGTTAAGCTGGCAGAGGAAGGAAGAATGGCATTCAGAGAATTGCAAGAGGTCAGTCAGGTGTGAAGTGGCCTCAGAGGAGGGAGGTAAAGCCTGCCCTGGCCGTTTCCTCTGGCATTGTCCAGCACATACCTATTTGCACAGTCCTTACTACGTTGTGTGTAACTTGAGATTTTGATACTCACAGTACAGTGTTTAAGTTGTAGATTTGTGTTTGCTTATTTATATGTATATATGCATTTTCACATGCATAGTTACAAAGATTGAGAAAATCTACTTAACCAATATTTAGTGGCAGTCTGATTTTACATGATAATTATTCCTTGGGAGCATTATCCAGCAGGCAAATTTGATGACCAAGGAAGTATGATGATGTTAAAACATCACAGCACTTTGATTGTTTGGATAAAATGTTTGAGAAACAAAATATACATTTTGTAGCTTGGTCTTAATTAGGTTGCAACTTAATAACTTTGTCTAATGGACTGTAGCTTGCTCTTTTACAGGGTACTGTTAACATGTTAGTCGCTGTTCTCTCCCTCCACAGTAGATTGTATATCAGCTGTATTTAGGCACAAGAACAAAATAGCATGAACAGATTTCTGTTTACTTGTCTATAGTTTAGGTCTACTTTGGGATTTATAGAATTCTGAGAGGCAGTATTACTAGTGATTAAAAGCACATGTGCAGGGGCTGGCCCGGTGGCGTAGCAGTTAAGTCACATGTTCTGCTTCCACAGCCCAGGGGATAGCCAGTTGGGGTCCTGGGCGCCAGCCTACTCACCGCTCCTCAAGCCGTTCTGAGGCGGCATCCCACATAGAAGAACTAGAAGGACCTACAACTAGGATACACGACTATGTACTGGGGCTTTGGGGAGAAAAAAGATAAAGAGGGAGATTGGCTACAGCTGTTAGCTCAGGGCCTATCTTCCTCAAGAAAACAAACAAATAGGAGAAGCGAGGTTAAAAAATAAAAATAAAAATAAATAAATAAATGAAAGCACAGGTGTAGCCAGATCCCCTGGACTGTTGAATCCTCGCCCCTCCTGTGGGCTCTATAGCTTTAGGTGAGTTCCCTCACTTCTCTCCAGCTTAGAATCCTTGGATAGGAGTGATATAGACCATACCTGAGAAGATTGTCGGGGGATTATATGAGTCACTACGTCTAAAGTTCTTAGAACAGGGCCTGGTACATACCAAGTGCTGGACATAAAAAGTTTTATGATGATACTGATGCTGATGCTAGACTGTTTCAGGTGGAAGAAACGTGAGAACTTTCTGCAGATGGGAACACTGAGGCTCATCGTAACTAGAGCAGTGGGTTTTTTTTTTTTTGAGCTGTACCTGGTGGAACTTTCTGCGACGTGGAGTCACTTGCTAAGGGTTATGAGGCTTATTAGCCATAGGACTGGATCTAGAGCCTGGTTCTCTTCATTCTTTATCCAGTTTGCTTGAAAGAAATTTTTATACTTTATGCAGTAATGTTTTCTTTGAACCTTTTCACTAACATTTACAAAGATTATATTCATATATTAAGTGCTCTTTGGCACATAATCCTTTTTTTCAAAGATGTTTAATGTACTAATGTTTATAATTGTGATGTATCTGGCAAATTTTGGGGGGGTGGGGGTGGTTGTATGAGGCTAAAAGTTGAAATAGACCAAGAATCAGGAAAGATGGACAAAAATAGATTAGTGGAGAAAATTACCATTTGAGTACCATTAAATGTTGGGCAAACCTCTGTGGTAGGTAGCAGTGTCCCCCAGCGTCATTACAGGTTAGAAACCAAAGTGAGGGGCTTGTCCAAGGTCATGCAGAAATTGCACAGTTGAGCTAGGATTTGAACCCAGATCTGCCTCACTTCAAAATGCATGCTCCCTGGAGTAGGGT